TTATCTATATTTTCCAGTTCTAAATGATTTTGTTCAGAAGTTGGGCAAAACAAATGTAGCATTATCTCCCAGGTTCTTTGTGTTTAACATGCTTTTACAAATCATTTGTGTGTTAAACCTGACCCTGAGGGCAAACATTATGCTTTAACTGCAGGCCTGCAGGGGTCGGAGGTCGTGGGTCAGTTTTCTAAACAGGAAAGCCTACTCATGCAGAACAACACATTGTAAACAAACCATTAAACACCATCTGCAGCGGCGTGAAATGCTCAGGAGTGTTGTTTGTGGGAATGTTTGTGTAGCCGTGCGATTCTACTCCACAGCACCAGCACACACACACACACACACACACACACACACACACACACACACACACACACACACACACACACACACACACACACAAAAGGATCACCACATAGTCAAACAGGAGCCAAGAGGTGACAGAGGAGTTACCATCTGTTACCTACTGAAGCATTAAATCACCTCTTAAAAGGTTACACGAGTCATTAGCATGAGGAGTGTAAAGTCAGCGTTTGAATGTTTGTGACAAATACATGAACTCTGCACCTGATACATTAGTACAAGCAGCAGTTTATGAGCTTAAACACCTCAATCTAAAAGCTCGATCGTGTAGATAAAGCTGACGCCCCACCCACATCAGAAATCCACGCAAATAGGTGGAGTGGTTAGCGCTACGTTTATGCTCATTTGTGCCGTTTAAACGGTCGTTTGTGCTGCTAAAGTCTTTTGCGCCAGTTTGTGCTGGGACAAAGTAATTTAAAAAGTACAAGTTCAAAAGCATTACAATAAAAATGTTACATATATTAGCACCTTATAATAATCATATATCTCGAAAACCACTGCAGCACAAACGACTGTTTAAACGCAACAAATGAGCACAAACATAGCACTCAAAGCGTAGATTGGTCCGGTTCATTTTGGACCTACTTGGGGGGGATGGTGACCCCCTCACCTACTTCAGGTAGAAGAGGTTATGACCCGCGAACTTCTTCTGGTCTAGGGTGGCTGGTGACGTTCATTTTGGACCTACCTGGGGGGATGGTGACCTCTGGATGACGTATAAAAGTAATGTTGAATATTTTAAAAACCATAGCAGCACAAACGACAATTTTAACGGCACAAATCAGCACGAACGTAGCACTAACCACTCCACCTATTTACGTGGATTTCTGGTGTGGGTGGGGTGTCAGCTTTATCTAATTAGCTCGATCTAACAGCTGCAATGTCTCCCAGCCTTCACTAGTGTCTACCAGAGTGGTTCTTCACTTAATCAAACAAATCAGCTGTGTTCATGATCCAAAACATGCAGGATACATGCTGGAAACAAACTGCAGCACCAGGTGCAGCTTCATTGTTGAGTCCCAACAGAGCGGCCCACCAGTCTGAAGTTGCAAGTGGAATATTCTGGCCACAGGGGGGCGACAGGGGCTGTGTTGCCTTTCATTAACCCTGTAAAGGGTCGTTTTAGCACAAACTGACTCAAGAAAATTATTTAAAAATATGAAAATGTTGCTAAGTGTACCTTTAAAATGTGAACTTTTGGGTTAGATTCATAGGATATGAAGTAAGGATGGGCACTGTAGCCTCAAAACCCAATCAGAGTACTTCAAATACAATTTTTACAAAGAGATTTGACAAAAAAAGTATAAGTAAACAAACCTTTTATCTTTGACTGCAGCTTGCAGGAGCTGCATTTATTTTTACAAACAAGGAGCATTTTTCATCTTTACATTGTGATGCCTCAAAACTCTGTCGTTACAGAAGCATCGATTCTGGTTTCAGGACTGATGCAGATGTTTGACCTTTTACAGCTCTCTGCTGCCAATACTGATTTTTACTGACTCCAAGCTAGAATTAACAGAAACCTTTCTGATTAACTTGTCATAAAAGTTTTTAATTAAAGCTGAATGGAGACAGATGATTGGCTATGGTGAGCGACTGAGAGACAAAAAAAAAAATACACATTTCAAACAAGGGGTAGCCCGATATATCGGTCGGCTAATATATCGGGCTGATATTTACCGTTTTTTTTTTGTACATCATTGTCAACCAATATTTGTCCTTAGTAAGGTGATTTAAAGTCAGGCGCGTGCGTCCTGCAGCCCGGTGCTGTTGCAGGAATTAATTTAAATGTATTTCTACATTCACTAACAACATCTGCATATTGAATGGTCTAAATTAACTTCATTTAGGTGTCTGACTTTAACAGTGACATGCAAGTTAAGATTTAATGGTTACTTTAATTCAGAGTCCAAAAACTGATTCATCTTCAGAAATGTTGTGCATCAACTGATGGTATTAGTGACATTTTAGCGTGAAAATAAGATGGAAAACGTCTGGATGTCAGCCATGAAAATGAGCCCATAAAGTTCGGCAGTACACATCGGCCATCGGCTGACCAGGGTTAGGGTTACACACACATCGGTGTCGGAAATAGAAAAAACTATATCGGTCGACCTCTAATTCTAATTCCTGTAGATATTACTGATTGTGGGTATGGAGCAAATGAACAGAAAAAATCAACTTCTTCAAACATTTCTCTTTTGTAAAGTTGTTGTCAGAAATAAAAAAGTCAAAGTTTCCCTAATAATCAATTGTTGAATTTCTGAAAAGTCGGTCTTCACAAATGTGTACTTTTTTGTCCTTTAAGGAAATTCTTCTCCCAGTAACTTTCCCATGTTTACAAAGCTTGCCGCTTCGTTACCTTGACAGCAGAATGACGTGTTCCTCTCATTCGTTCATCTTATTTTGCTGTGTTTTTAACGTTTACCTCTCCCTTTCACCCTGACCTTTTTACTGTTCATCAGTCCACACCTCCTTCGTTCCCCCTTCATGTCCCACTCTTGTTTTCTCTGACAGCATCACATCCTCTCTGTGTCTCTGTTTGATGCACAGCAAGCCTCCCCTCCCTCCTCCCGCTGTGTTTCTGCTTCCCGCGCCGCTAACGTTGCGGGCGGTCAGCCTGTCTGTCAGCGCCCACCGGTCCAACACCTGCCACTCGCAGCACGCCCCGCGAATGTGTTTGTGTAGCTGCGTGTCTGTGGCTGTGAGGATTTCTGAAAGGTCAGACAAAGAGAATTCACTGTTTGGTTGGTTCATCACAGCTGATGTGAAAGCGTTGGTTTGCTTTACTGCCTCGGTAGATTATAGTCAGATTTAGGCTGCTTGATCGCTATTCTGAGATGCCCAGAAGGAGAAGCCTGGTAATTTATCTGCTATAAATACAGAACATCCTCCCAGCAGGTCACCCTAAGACCCACTGCAGAACGGGATGATGGCGACAGCTTCTTTACACTGCGTGTGCATGCATACGTGTGCGTGCATGTGTGTGTGTGTGTGCGTGCGTGCGTGCGTGCATGCATGCGTGTGTGTGTGTGTGTGTGTGTGTGTGTGTGTGTGCGTGTGTGTGAGTGTGTGTGTGTGTGTGTGTGTGTAGTCATTTAAGAGTTTCATCAGAGCTTGATGCCTATAGGTGCCACTGCCAGCTGTTTCTTTTCTTTTTTAAATCATAATTTCATTGTTTCATCCACTAGAGCTGCTCTAACCAAATAAAAATGCAATAGTTCTTTTGACATTTTGACAAAGCAAGCCTCAATGTCTCTCAGAGACTCACAAAAAATTGAATTCTCTAATTAAATGCCACATGCTGTTGCTGCAATTTAGTTTGGTTTCTTTTACAGCCGAGCACGCTGTTGTTCTTTTAGGAAAAGTGATTGTTTAAATGCTGAGCTATTTGCCCAGCTACATTTGTGTTTCTGTGAGTGACTCTTGAATATAGGGGCGACGGCGGCACAGGAGTTAAGTGCTCGCCCCGTAATCGGAAGGTTGCAGGTTCGAGTCCCGCTTAGTCTGTCACTGTCGTGGTGTCTTTGGGCAAGACACTTAACCCACGTTGCCTGCTGGTGGTGGTCGGAGGGACCGGTGGCGCCTGTGCTCGGCACCCTCGCCTCTGTCAGTGCGCCCCAGGGCAGCTGTGGCTACATCGTAGCTCATCCCCACCAGTGTGTGAATGTGTGTGTGAATGGGTGAATGACTGGTTGTGTTGTAAAGCGCCTTGGGGGGTTCCAGGACTCTAGAAGGCGCTATATCAAATACAGGCCATTTACTATTTATATCTTAGGCTTAAGTCGTCTCATACTGTTCTTGCAAGTAGGGTTGTATAATAAGGCTATTTCTAGCTGTGTTCAAGGTTTTGATTATTTGAATTTAAGACATTTATAAATGATTCATGTAGGATTTTTAACCCACTGTGCAGAAACAGAATTGTTTGTTTCAAATTAGAATGGTTTCTTTTTTTTTGTTTTGCATAGAACCTTATTTTCTAATGAAATGCGTGCAATCTGATGCTGGGTCTGTGCTCGGTGCAACGTGAATCGAAATGAAAACAGGAAGGTGTGGAGGTGAAGAAAGAAAAGCCGATCTAGATCAGTGGAGTGGAACGGATGTGAGTGAAGGCAGGAGGAAATGAGAAGTGAAGGTTTAACATTTAAGAGAAAAGAATGAAAAAATGCATTTGAATTACCCAGAAAGTGAGAGAGGGGAGTGGTTAATGAGAGAGATGGAGTAGAGGAGACAAAACGACTTGTACAGTTTCGGTCTTGAAGAGGAAAAAAATGGGAATAGAAGATGATTTGTGTGGAGAGAGTGTGTGTTGATTAATGTGTCACTGGAGAGGACAAGCACACACACACACACACACACTCCAACAGTCTGAGAACACTTTACTGAGCTGTAGAAAAGCAAAGGACTGATTTTCATTTTGAAAATGAATATTTGCACAAATACTTCATGTCCTTGACATTACTTGGTCTCTGTTTGGTTCCTCTTGACTTTTTCTTGCCCTTCTGGCTGATGTGAGCCTTATGCATTCTCCTTTTGACATTCAACATGTATTTCAATCTGCAGAAGGTCCCCCTTTTTCATTATTTTGAACATCTTTTTTTCTGCCATTCCCCTTCCATCACCTCTGATCCCCGCAGGACAGCGACATTCAGAAGAAGATCGATCATGAGATCCGGATGCGGGATGGAGCCTGCAAACTGCTGGCAGCCTGTTCACAGAGAGACCAGGCTCTGGAGGCAGCGAAAAGCCTGCAGACATGCAGCACTCGTATCATGACCTACATGTCAGAGCTGCAAAGGATGAAGGAAGCTCAGGTCATGCAGAACGTCCCACGTAGATCGTCAGACGCAGGGCCGTTGGATGAAAGGATGCCGTGCAAAGGGAAGGTGGCCATCTCAGGTAAATATTGGAATCATTTATTTAAATAAACATGAAAAAAGCAATGCCATAGCATTTTTTTCAACTTTTGTGAGTTGTGGTTTATGGGGAGTGCTACTGCATGTCTGCTACCCAGCTGGAGAACACACTACACACACTCTGTTGGTAATTTGCTGTAGATACTTCTACTAGTGTCTGGAAAGTGTTTGGGCAAAGAAGCATGCACATTCACACAGATGGACACACACTTGCTCTAACACACACACACACAGTTGGATAGTGATTAACATTTTTGCGGTCTGATCCCGTCTCTTGTCATTCCAGATCTTCGGATCCCTCTCATGTGGAAAGACACAGAGTACTTCAAGAACAAAGGAGGTAAGATGGCTACCTTCTACATATATATATATATATATATATATATATATATATATATATATATATATATATATATATATATATATATATATACAGTGTTGGAAGTAACGCCGTTTAAATATAACGGCGTTACTAACGGCTAATTAATTACTTTTCCCACTGTTGCAACGCCGTTACCGTTACTGGGGACGGAAGGTTGTGCGTTACTATGTGCTTGTCGAACGTTGAGCAACAGTGTGAGGCTTTCTGACCGCCACACTTCAGCTGCAGCCAGGGAGAGAGAGGTGTCGGTAACGCACTTACAAACACGATGACGATTGGCCGGGTGGGCGGAGACCCTCAGTGTTCTCACTGTCTCAGTCGCTGCGTGCTGTAGACCCAACAGAGCAGTGATGGGAATAACGGCGTTTAAAATAACCACGTTAATGAAAAAAAACTATAAAAAATTATTTCTGTAACGAGCAAACTTATTAATTACCGTCTTCTTTTAACAAAACGATAGTTTCTGTTGCTGATAAGAAAATGCGTGCGTTAAGCAGCACGGTGTGTTGAAGCTGTCATCAGCTGATCAGGAGCTAAAGAGGTAGATGTTTTCATCCAAGCACATCACGGCCCGTGAAGAACGAGGAAGACGTGATGAATAGTCTACGGCTGCAGACCCGCAGATTCGTTGCTGCAGCAGTGAATCTGCAGCCATGCCCTTCTTGGCGTGACAGCGGGACGTCCCGAAGGTCCGCTCACCTGTTCACCGCTCAGACGTCACGATCTTCTACCCTCCTCGATCATCCAGCTGTAACCTGTTTCTGATCATGTCTTTAGTCCCGCTGTAACACTGATGCATCAATCTCAGACGTCATGGAGCTCAGGTGTTATTAGAACTACCTGTGTGTGTTTACCACCCAGCTTCAGTTCTTCTGTGGTTGGGTCTGACCCACGTTAGTAAATGTAAGTCCTCCATCAGATTTGTGCCTCTTCTAGTGTCATTTTAAAGGATTTTATTTATTTATTTAACCGTTACCAGATTAGTTGCAACAGAAATGCTACTAAAAAGACACAATTATGTGGAGCTGGAAAAATTAGAATGCTGTGCAAAATTACATTCATTTCTGTAATTTAACTAGACTGAGAGACCATTTAAAGGCTCGGGAACCTTTACAGGTGTTTCTATTTGCAATTTTAGATTTTAACTGATTGGGGTCTTGTTAAATATCACACAGTGACCTTTTAATAGTCTAGATAAGTGTAATGTTCCTGTTAGTAGTTCCTCCTGTTAAGTGCTTATTTATTGAAATTATTCAGGTTCATAAAAAACATTTGGACATACATTTTGTTATGTTCCAGTCATTAGTCATTTATATTTCACTATTGTAGTAATTCTTGCATGCTTTAATGAAAAAAGTAACTAAGTAGTTGTTTATCTTGGTAATTAGTTACTTTTATAATATCGTATCTCAGTTAGTAACTGAGTTACTTTTTTGACAAAGTAATCAGTTACTATAAATAATTACTTTTTTAAAGTAACGTTCCCAACACTATATATATATATATATATATATATATATATATATATATATATATATATATATATATATATATATATATATATATATAATGGGACCAAAGTAATCAAATAGACCTTGTGGTTACAGAAATAAAGTCAATAAAGTGTGGATGTGTCGTTATCACTGATTTAAAAAACTGCTAGGGTGCAAATAGTCTTGAGTGATTAAAATGAGATTATTCAAGATTAATTCATTACAGAGCCTCTAATTGATTAGATCATTTTTTTCATCTAGTAATCTAGAATCCCACCCCTAATATATGAAGGAATTCCTACCTTTTTCTACTCTCTGGAATGTTTCTTTAAATATTTCCTAACGTAAGAGACTTGCTAACATTTGCAGACCATACCGCCTGACTTTTATTTTTTCTTGCATCAGCTCCTGGAGCTGATCCATACAATCTGCTGCAGCATTAGCAGAGATTTCTGTATTTTACTTAAATTATTTTTTAGACATGTGAAACTCCAGGGAGCACAACCTGACCCGGCAGTTCAGTCTTTCTGGCTTTGTCTCTTGGCTCCAAAAAGCACCGTCTAGCACCCTCTGAATTATTAGCAGAGAACTGTAAGATAGAAGAAATGAAATCTATTGTGTACTTAAAGAATTCTCCTTGACCTTTGACATGTGGAACGTGGTTCGCCAATTAAAAAGACATTTTTAAAAAGAATTCTTTATATCTCTCTCAACAACTTGATAAAATCCACTCCTTTTAAATCGCTCTAATGGTCACAATGCTCCTCTGACAGTCTGGATGGGATTAATCTGCATGACCCGCGCATACAAATGAACCCAAGCAACATGAAGAAAAGGCTTAATTGTGCCGTTAGTCTTAGTAGACACAATGGTGTTCTTCATGGGAGGAAAAAGCAGCAATGCCTTAAAGTTATATAGCAGTTTGTGTAAAATCAGCTCATGTTTTTTCAGTTGCTTTGTTTCAACATAAGAGTTGTTGTTGTGCTTTAGTTTTTGCACATTAGTCTTCTGTAGTTTCTGGCGAAGTTGATCACTGAACCGAGATGAACGATGACAGAAAGGAGTTTGTCTGACAGGTGCAGCCGCTGGTTTTCTTCCACGCATCACCTGCTCAGGTTAAGTGTGTTACGTCCCCGACAGGAGGTGTTAAAATGTGAAGGAGGGGGTAACATAAAGCCCCCTTCAGACAGGCCATGAAAAACGGAAATGTTCCGGAATCTGTCCGTAAGACCTTTCTGTCTGAATACAAACATCCGGATAACGTGCTCCGGAATTTATCCGGACGAAGCCCCTAGTAACAGGTCCGGACTTGTTACGGACAGGGTGGCTGCTTCAGACTGGTGAGGTAAAGTTCTGGACAAGAGGGAGGGGGAGGAGGAGGGGACCGGGGGACGCTGTGCGCACCTAGATAGCTCGCTGCTGTAGCACGCGGCGAACCACGGCAGCTCGCCTCCTACGGTACCGCCTAGACGCGCGACAGAGCGCTTCACACCGCTTCAGTGATTCCTTTAACCATTGAGCTTCATCATCCAGATCTCCTATGCATCTTCGTGTGCGCAGAATTATGCTTAAGCGCCTCGTGATTTTTTATCTTGAGAGGCGCTATAGAAATGATATTTTCTTCTTCTTCTTCTTCTTAACATGAGTCCGATTCTCTCTCCCCCTACCACCCCCCCGCCGCCGTCAGACATCTGGAACTTTTCCCTGCTGTGTGAACGCAGCCGAAAGAACAAGTTCCGGTACAAAATAATAATAATAATAATGCATTGAACTTATATAGCGCTTTTCTTGACACCCAAAGACGCTTTCACACAATCTCACATTCACACACTGCTAGTGATGGTAAGCTACTTGTAGCCACAGCCGCCCTGGGGAGGTCTGACAGAGGCGAGGCTGCCATTTGGCGCCGTCGGCCCCTCTGACCACCACTAACACAGGCAAGTTGGGTGAAGTGTCTTGCCCAAGGACACAACAGCAGGATACCCCTGGCGGGAGCTGGAATCAAACCCATGACCCTCCGATCATGAGACAACCCGCTCTACCACCTGAGCTACTGCTGCCCCCAAAAGTGGTGTGTCTGAAAACACAGTTCCGGTTAAAAACCGGATTGAATTGTCCGCAAATGTTCCAGAATGTCTGTCTGAAAAGGGCTTTGAAACATGATAGTGGGTTTAAAAATGGGTTTAATTGTCAAAAGGTTAAAAACAAGCATGCAAACAGATGGTAAGCATTATTAAAATACTGTAATGCCAAACAAAAAACAACTCAAAAAGGTTAACATTAAAAGACCAATCACCAACATTAAAAACACCTGGTTAAAACTTGTATTCAAAGTTTTACCAAACAGAAAGTGTTTAAAACCAAAGTCAATAAAATTGCATCACCAAGTTAACTTTAAAAACGATCCCTCTGATCACTCAGAGTTAAAACTATAAAAGTTAAAACTCATCTAGTCGAAGGGGCTGGAGACTACATGAGGCCCGGAGGACAGCAGTGCACTGCTGCCTCTCAGACTGCTGAAGGCACAGCCTTTTAATCCTAGGTGTCAGTCGTCATAGGGATTCGTCTCAGCTGTGCTCCTCAGCAGCCTGGAAGAGTGGAAGAGGAGAGGTGGTGTCTGGCTGATCACCGGGGCTGGGTGATCCTGGCTCTTGCACCTGAAGAGGCCAGGCTGGTGACCATAACAAAGTGTCTCATCAAGAGCACCCTCTGGTTTCGACACTTCACATCCTCTAGACTGCAAGTCTATGTTAATTATGGAACTTTTGGTGAAATAAATCAAATTTAAAGTCTTCAAAGTTGTCTTTTCAACCTGCTGTATCAACTACAGAATCAATTTCAAAGTGCTTCTACTAGTTTATAAACCACTCATGGCATGGGGCCAAAATACATGTTGGATATTCTTGCAGTAGATATGCCCAGCAGGGCAGTCAGCTTGTAGAAACCTGGACCTTTAAATGAATGATTCTTATGCTACACCGTCTGCACTGTAACGGCTCACCCTTTAACTTTGTCATTTTATCATATTTCTTACATCTAATTTAATTTAATTAGATTTTAAAATCTGCTGTTTTATGTTGCCACGTTGATTTTAATGTTTTATGTTCTTGCTCCTGTAAAGCACATTGCCTCTGTGTATGAAATGTGCTATACAAATAAAGCTGCCTTACTTTGCCTTTTCTAATTAAAAAAATTTTTTTTCTTTTGCAGAACTTCACCGGTGTGCCGTGTTCTGCCTGCTGCAGCTCGGAGGAGAGATCTTTGACACAGACATGGTGATAGTGGACCGAACACTCACCGATATTTGCTTTGACAACACCATCGTATTGTAAGTAGACCTTGTATAAAAGATTTATTATCCCATTTAAAGTGCAACAAAATGAATGGTAGTCAAGGGGTCAAAGGTTAAAGAACTCATCATGGTAACAAGATAAAAGTTATTGAGCAATAAAGGTTTTTAATTTGAAAATAGGACCTCGCTTTTGAGTTAAGCAGGAGAGACGATGGCAGAGGGGTAACTGGAGGGTTGTGGGATCGCGTCCTGCTCAGTCTGTCACAGTCGTTGTGTCCTTGGGAAAGACCAAGGGGAAAACTGCCTGCCTAAAGTGAAGCCAGTGAATTGACTTCCACACTTTTTTTTTAACTACAAAAATTGCAGTTCCCCCCTCATCCACTAGGGGCTGAATCCGGAAAGAATACATTTCTCGTTGATTCCCATGTTAAAAATTCCAACTTCACAGCAGAGAATAACATTTACAGCCAAGTACAAAAAAAAGTTTTAGGTTTAATCGGTCATAGCCCATCACCACCAGTGTGTGTTCACAGGTGAATGACTGGAAGCACCTTGGGGAGCTGTAGAACAGACGGTGCTATACAAAAAAACTATTTTTGAACTAAAGCACAAGTCGATATTTTGTGAAGCACATGTAAAATAATAATGATTGTTTGAACCATGTTAGTGTTAGCCGCATCCTTGCAGTTTTTTTTTTTTTTTTTTTACCATCTGTGTTTCTGCTTTGTTCTGATAAAACCAACACCACATGTGTCCCTCTGCAGTAACGAAGCTAGTCCGGGCTTTGAGCTCCGTGTAGAGCTGTTTAGCTGCTGCTCGGAGGACGACTACTCGGCCGGAAGCACACCAAGAAAACTAGCCAGCAAGCTGAGCTCCTCGCTGGGGCGATCAGCTGGGAAGAAGCTCAGGGCAGCCATGGATCCTGGACAGTGTAGTCTTGTTAGCAACGGCGGGGCGGCCCCTTTTCTCCTGCCTGTACCCGCTGTACCGTAAGTTCAGCTTGATTACGTTTAAAATGTAGTACATTTTAGCTTCTTTTTAAAACAATCCTGCTGTTTGTTGTGTATTCATAGGGGTCCTAAGTATCACCTGTTAGCTCATACCACCCTGTCCCTTTCACACGCCCAGGACAACTTCCGCACGCACGACCTCACCATTTCAGGCAACGGTGAGTGGCAGCCTCACTAGTGTTCTGCTTCCTGTGCCAGATCAGCCATCTGTCTGCTTTTTTTGTCCTGCTCTCACTCATCTCTGTCTCCTATTTTCTCCTTCTGTTCTAAAAACAAGAAGCGTCTCCTCTTCCTCCTTCTTCTCTGTCCGCGCCCCTCTTTTCTCTAACAGACAGCAGTTGTCAAGGTCACAGTGATAAATATGGTGTGACTGCTGTGCAAAGCTGTAATGATGTGGGCTAACAAGCGCCCAGACCCAGAGACAGACATGCCTCTTGCGTTTTATTCATTGGCCCCTCTGTGTGCCATAAAGTTTCATAGCCGCATTTCATGACACTCTGCGCAGCTGATAGTCTTTTACACCCAAGTGCCTTGTTTTGTGTGCTAATGGAAGGTGGGGATGGAGAGTGTGCCGGGATGTGTGCATGCATGTGACCGCGTGTTTGTGTGAGCATTTCCAGTGGAATATTTTTAATTATTTATGTTGTTTATCTCCGCCTGCAGAAGAGTGCTCCTACTGGCTGCCGCTCTACGGCAGTGTGTGCTGTCGCCTGGTCGCTCAGCCTCGCTGTATGACCCAACAGATGATGAGCGGATGTTTGAAAGTTAAGGTAAGCTGGCAGGTGTGTGTGCAGCACTGATGTGAGGTATTCCTCCAAGGGCTCCGGGCTTTTGTTTTCCCCCTCTTTCCACCTTCAATCAATCAATCAATCAATCAAAGCTTTATTTATAAAGCGCCTTCCGCAACCCTGTCAGGAAGCCCAAAGCGCTGAACATGGTACAGTTGTAAGTAATTATACTGAATAAATCAACAATAAAAGAAATTCAAATTACAAAATACAAATTACAAAATACAAAATGGAAATAACAAGATAGATGAAACATTCCGGTAAAATACAAATGTGTGAAACACAATTGGATTGAGTGGATGGATTGAGTGTACCAATATCAATACCAATGTACCTTCTCCTCATGTTGCCAGTTCTCTGTGTGTTCCTTTCTTTTATGCTCCTCTTTTGTTTGCCTTGCAGCAATGTGGAGGTGACCCTCAGAGTTGGACAAAGGTGTACGCCGTGCTAAAAGGAACAAGCCTTTTCTGCTACCAGCAGCAAGAGGATGTGGAGGCGAATGTAGAGCCGGCTTTTACCATTGGCATCAACAAAGTAAGCCAAAGGGATAAACCTTACAGAACTCATAAGGGTGTATTTTCTGCAACCCTAAAGAAAAATGTCAAGGGTTGGGGATTGCTGCCAGCTAAATCCCTGAGCTAGTCGGTATATTTTGATCTTAGAAGAATAAGTAAAAAAAAAATATTTTTACCTGTAAGCCAAAAGCCCCTTGATGCCCCAAAGAGGTCACAATTCAAAAAATGAGCACAAGAAAACCTTTTTTCTGCCGTTGTCAGGAGTGCAAAACTACAACAACATAAAAATAATTAAAAATCAGAGAAGCTCTCAACATTTTCATTTCATTTGGTGTCTTTGACCCCTATTATTTCATCACAATTCCCAAACTCTGGTTCTGTCACCTAATGTCATGATTTAAGTTGGAAACATGTCTTTGGGGCTGTACATTTCCTCCACTGTGACTCACTCAGTCATTTGTGACCTCTGACCCTCAGCACCCTGCCAACCTAAACATTAAAGTGTCCATGTAAACATTTGCTAGGATGAGTGGAGACAGAACCTAGTAGAAAAATAGGACAACACCTCCATCTAGTGGTCACACACACACACACACACACACACACACACACACACACACACACACACACACCTGGTCTCAGTTGAAGCTGGGGGGGGGGGGGGGGGGTTCTCTTTTTTTGGTGGATAATTGCAGAAGGGAAATGGTTTGAAAGAGGACTAATTGCTAGCTCAATTAGCGAGGGCTTATTTTCAGCGGGGACTTACTATTACAACTGGTGTAATGAACAATTGCTCAGTTGTGGAGCGCATTTGGAGGTAGATGATTACACGGTTCCTTTGTTGCGCCTTTTGTTTCAGGAGACCAGAATACGTGCGTCGGAGAAAGACCCTCACAGTAAAGCGCAGAATATCTGCGTCAGTAACCAGTTCGGAGGGGAGGAGGTCACACACACGCTGACTACAGAGAGCCGAGAGGACACACACCGCTGGATGGAGGCCTTTTGGCAGCATTTCTATGATATGAGTAAGCTTCTCGTGAATAACGCTCATAGTGATTTAATGTTCTCTGAGAGATGGTGAGGAGCTACTCTTGTCTATTTGTGTGGGTGTTTGTGGTTTAACGGTAAATAATTTGCTCGACAGGTCAGTGGAAGCAGTGCTGTGACGACCTGATGAAGATAGAACTTCCGTCACCGCGGAAACCAGCTCCCATCACACCCAAACAGGGGTCTCTTTACCATGAAATGGGTAATCTTTTCAATTAAATTTTAACAAGAGGATTATTGCAGCATATCTATGTTGCACGTGTGTGTGTGTGTGTGTGTGTGTGCACGAATATGAAGTCACTTTCCTCTGTAGTATCTCAAACTCACACTCTGCTTTACTTCTCTGTACTGTAGGTAGAAGGGAGTCTTATCTCTTACACACTGACTTACTGTTTCCCTCTTTGTTCTCTCTCCTTTCATCCCTCTTTTTTATTCTGTACATTTTCTATTGACTTTCATTGCTAACCTTTAATGTCTTTTTTCTTTTTTCTCCTATCTCATTTAAACACCCTTACTGACCATCAATACACATAAAAACCAAACGCCACCTGTTGCACACCTCCACTCCACCCTCTGTGTCGCGCCGCCCTTGGTTTTCCTAACCTCCCCCCAGCTTCCCTTTCCACACCCTCCAGTGAGGGTCTCCTGCTGCAGGATAATGCTGTGTCTGCTGAGATTCGTGCTCTGCTCTCGTCCTATTACAACGACAGGTGAAGTAGTTGGTGTAGGGTTTGCATGAATTACTTTTGTAAACCCGAGAGATCTGCTTCGGTTTTAGGGCTTGATGTCATTTTAGTCTGAAGTTTGCATAACTACTGGATGCATTCTTAAATCGATTCATGTCTCAGACTTCCTCTGCAGCAGTGTAATGATGCTGATTCTTTACTTCCTGCAGTTATTGAGTCATCCAATGACCTGAGCAGCACCGTGTCAGACATCTTGGCCCGGAGGATGCAGGAGCTGGAGCTCCGCAGCCAGCTGGGCACATCTCTCACCTGGATGTCTGTGTTTGAGGAGAACAATACAAAACCCGCCGGTTTCCCTCGTCACTGTACTTCTTGTCTGTCCGGCCACAGCCCCTGCACACCTCACCGCCTTCCCCGAAGCCCCGCGAGCCCCCAGCGCTGCCCTCGGCTGGGCCTGCTGTCCTCAGATGCGAGTCTGACCTCGGACAGCGACAGCCACTGCAGTACCAGCCCCTGCTGTCACCGCCATGGCTGGCCGGAGCCTTCGTCAAACCTGTCTCTACTGTCATCTTCCCCCTTCGGTCTGAGGCCGCGCACTCTTTCGTTGGACGCAAAGCTCAGCACCCTTCGAGGAAGGGGGTATGGAGGAGGGACTTTCCAGTGCCCCTGCCAGCCTCCTTCCTCCTCGCTGCTCACTCCCCTCCCCATCATGTCCCGTTCGCCGTGCTCGCAGCGCAGCACGCAGACCACGCTCTCCTGCTCCAGCTCCACCTCCAGCAACAGCTCCAGTAACAGCGAGGGCAGCCACAGCCCCGAGTCCTCACAGGGAGTCCTCTTCTCAAGACCTTCCCCAGCCCGACGCAGCCTAAGGAACCTCAGAGCCAGGCTTGATCCTCGCAACTGGCTCCAAAGCCAGGTGTGAACTCGTCTCTCGACTGGCATTTGCTCAGAGGTGATTGTGAAACAGTGACTTAACATGAGCTAATTCTTCACCCCATCCCTAAGGAGAACACCTTTTGGCAGGCTCTTTAACTCAGGATGGACTAGAGAAGACCCTCCGGGATCCAACTGGAACATAGAAGATGGTGACAATCACTGCAGGAAGGGGTGGGGTTCCACAGATTTCAGAAAGGACGGTCTTGCTTTTTTGGGGAGATAAGAGCTGATGCTATTACCATACATTAACTCTGTTTTACTGTTCTAATTAAGCCTTACTCAAACGGTTCATCGCAGTGCACCAGCTGTAGTTTGACTGTATGTGTTGAAGGAAAGGTGGATGTTTGCGGCTCGTACCGACCTCATTACTTACACACCAGATCATGGGTGAATCTCCTAAAACTACTATGCAGTTTTGTTTTATGCATGAATTTGACTTACACACTGAGTTAATTTTAAAAACTTGGCCTACTGCAAGTGCACACAGAAACACTGCACATGTTCTGACTGTGATCCATTAGGGGGACAAAGCTCTGCTCTGGACTTCTGCATCACTGACAGGCCGCCATCAAAGACGAGTAACAGATCCTGTTAAACTTCTGAAGTTCTCGTGAAAACCCGAGCCATACCTACAAGTTTGCCACTATGCAGTGCTTCAAGAAAAAAGAATAAAACATTATACAAGGCATACAGAAATAACTTTTTGTAGTTTTAATTTGAAAATCTCTACCAGAGTAATGCATTGTGTCAAAAACAAAATAAGCATAATCGACCAGTGTTGAAGCTAAAAAGCCATCGTTCCTCCTGCCGCTCCCGTTTATCCTCGTGGACTTTGAAAGCCGTCCTGGAACCAAGAACTCCAGTTACTACGATTTGTCAAATGCTCAAAGGCAGCATTTATTACTGTAAATTATTTTTTTAATAAGTTAACAAACAAACCTCTCTTTTGTCTTTGTTATAAAGCAATTTTATAAATGCAGGTGTATAGATGTGTGATTATTGTTTTATTAACAGATCATTTGCAGTTCTCTAACTGTTAGGAGTAAATAACACTGTAATAAGCCTCGGGTTTGCAGGCGTCATGTTCTGCATGTACACACCCTAAAAGCGGAAGTGAAGATGATGACATTTCATGTTTAAATAATATAATATTAAATATAATAAATGATTTACCAGTTTACAGCTGCCTCGTGTTTACCTGTACAGTACAGCAATAAACACGCAATAACACAACATTTCATTAAGATAGAAATTTTAACAAATCATGTTGAGTAAAAGGACCAAAAAAAGAATAAAGATGAAAACCTTTTTGTTATTCAATTTGGAATAGATTTTTTTTAGGTGTGGTTCACTGAAAATACATTTAAATGAATATTTCTCTCTATAATCTGTCAGTTTCTCACGCAGGCTGAAGATGAAAATAGTCCCCTACACGTATCTCCTGCTTTAACTTCTGATAGGAAAATAGATTTAGATTTGAAAGTCCTGACAGATCTACGTCACACTGTCACTTAACATTCATGGTCTCACCCATCTTGACTCACGACAGGGAAGAATGTTGTTTAAGCGTCCAGGAAACAGCAGAGAACATCTCAGCTAGTAGAAGCTAACCGTTAGCATTAGCAACTCCACCATACGGCAGAACTCCTCCAGGTTTTTGTTATTAGTGGAGATAAAACATCATGTTGCAGAGCAAACAGAGTCAGAGGTTAGTGAGTCTCATTTCTGTTAGCCAATCAGAGGAGAGGTGGTAAACGCAAATGGCCTGTATTTGTATAGCGCCTTCTTAAGGTTCTACAACCCCCCAAGGTGCTTCACAACGGTCAGTCCCATTCACACGCTGTTGGGGATGAGCTACAGTGTAGCTACAGTTGCACTGACAGAGGCAAGACTGCCAAGTACTGGCGCCAGCAGTCCCTCTGATCACCATCAGCAGGCAAGGCAGGTTAAGCGTCTTGCCCAAGGACACAACAGCAGCATTCTCTGGTCAGAGCCGGAATCAAATCTGCAGTCACAGTCACCTACAGTCAAAGGCCCCACCTGACATATACAGTCATACACAAACACAGTCACACACTCCCTCCCTCATGCTCTCACATACACATACAACCTAAGACAAACAAAATGGTCCCGGTACTGCTGCACATGGGGTACAACCATCACCGGTTCCCAGAGTTCAACTGATGGGGTGCTGATGAGCAGACCCCCACCACCCACCCACCCAACGCTGAGCAAAGCGACCCACCACCCCAGGCCCCAGCCAGATCCTCCTCCTAGTCTCCAGCCCCGGGAAGCCAAGTGACAACAGAGGTGTGCTAAGACCCCTAGTCTCTCTCCCCCTGCTCCAATATAGTGTTGGTGCGTGTTGATGAGGTGTATTCCATGGCTGTGGTGAGCAGGCAGTGCAGGCATCGTCTGGCCTACGCCAGCTAATGCCATCACACCACCCCTCTTCCCCCCACAGCCCTCTGTGTCTAAGTGCAGTTTAAAATCGGAAGTGGGCACTGGCACTTGGGATGAGGCTGAAAGATCCCCTTGCCAAATGCCGTTGATTGTGCTCACTCCCAAGGCCCAAGTGTGTGTTTGCGTGGAATGTCTTTGGTGGAAGTGTTTAATATGCAAATAAAATTGGAGGACAGTCTGCCACAGGAATGCGGAAATGGGGTCCATACCCGCACCCCCTGACTTGTCCACCCCCCAAGGTCCTATGTGCATGTTTGTGTGATGATGTGAGGAAGTAGGAGGACAGAAATGTGTGTGAGGATGGGGAGGAATGGCTGGTTGGCCTAAGCCATCCAGGGAGCCAGCTCCCCCACTGGCCCCAACCTCCGTTGCCAAAATGCCACCCAGGGCATGGAGACCCCAGCCCATCTTGCCAGGGTCCAAAGCAGCAGCATTGCAGAGCTCCACGGAGTCCGAGGGAACCAACGCAGCCCCACCCCAGTAGAATATCTACTCCCATCCCTGCATTTGCACAGCTTCCAGAATATATAAGACATAGGACATCCAGGTAAATGGTAAATGGCCTTTATTTGATATAGCGCCTTCTAGAGTCCTGGAACCCCTCAAGGCACTTTACAACACAATCAGTCATTCACCCATTCACACACTGGTGGGGATGAGCTACGATGTAGCCACAGCTGCCCTGGGGTGCACTGACAGAGACAAGGATGCCGAGCACTGGCGCCACCAGTCCCTCCGACCACCACCAGCAGGCAACGTGGGTTGTCTGGCCCAAGGACACAAAGACAGTGACAGCCTGAGCCGGGCTTGAACCTGCAACCTTCCGAACTCCTGTGCCACCATTGCCCCAGGTAAGGTTGGGTCCTCCCCCTCTTGGACATCCCCCTCCCCCGTGATGGGACAGCAGAGGAGCCGAGGTCTACCTGAGCCCGGGCCAGGCACTGCCGCATGTTCCCGCCTTCTTCCCGGCAGCATACATGTAAGGACCCGCCCCCCAAGGCCCCGCCCAGATCCCCACATGGGGCCGGCAGCCTTCCTATTACTGGACAACCCGCTCTACCTCCTGAGCTACTGCTGTCCCAGATGTCCAAATATCAAATCACATCTTGCCATGTTGAGCTCGACTCTGATCTGGATCACTGCTAGTTCTTGTAACAGAGCTTTTTCCCCAGAGTACAACTTACAAGACATTCATTCCTACTAGAGACGACCACAAATGTGATCAAGCAAGTGGTCCACACCTTTAAAAATATCTTGTTTTTGGTGTTTTTATTGGTACAAAGATCTCTCATAAAACAACCGACAGATTTTAATTAAGCTTTTATAAAGTTATTATTGGATGCACATCTGCAATTAATTTTTTTTTTGGAATCAACCAAATTCAAGATGGCTGCCACAGCTAATAGGACCAGCTGTAGCTCAGGAGGGAGAGCGGGTTGTCCAATAACCGGACGGTTGTAGGTTTGATCCCGGCTCCTGCCAAAGAATGCTGCTGTTGTGTCCTTGGGCAAGACAGTGAACCCACCTTGTCTGCTAGTGGTGGTCGAAAGGGCCGGTGGCGCCAGTGCGTCAGCAGTCTCGCCTCTGTCAGTGCGCCCCGGGGCAGCTGTGGCTACATTGTAGCTCATCACCAGGGTGTGAATGGGTGAATGACCGATTGTGCTGTGAAGCACCTTGGGGGGCAGTAGAACCCTAAGAATTAGCTACACATATACAGGGTATTTATCATTTAATCTACCTTAGAAAATAAAAACATAACAGCCAATTTTACATACACTGAGCAAAGAGGCGGTGTCATATTAGTGATGACTCATCCACCTCACACACCCAAGGAGCTATTGTTCAGTGTGTGAGATATCTGCATAAAACTTTGCCATTAACAGCTTGGAGTTAATGGGAAAATATTTCCTGCAACCACTCAATGGATTCCAGCAAAACTCTCCCAGCAGCCGTCGCCAGCAGCAAAGGAGCTTCCCTTTAGACCAGAACAGTGCTTTTAGTTTTGGATTGCTGAATGGGTGATGGGCTCACACGGTTTCATTAGTTGCAATAATCCCAGGGAGATGTCCACAAACGTAAACAAGCTGAGAAAAGCTGCAGTGGAAGAATAGAGAGAGGCGTGCAGAGCGGAAAATTTTAATTGTCAGATATTCGACAGCAAAGCTGTATAGTAGTCGACAGTACAGAGCACCGTAACAAACATAGGAGGTAGTTGACACCGGGTCTTCACTGAGCATTGTAATAATATGCATAGAGAAAAGCTATGGCCATAGCCACAGAGGAGAACCCAAGCTCCCCATTCTCTGTAGTGCACGTGTGCTGTTGTGCTATAGAAGAACTTCACATCTGCTTAAAGTATAAAAAAAACATCTATTCATACTATATGATCAACATACACATAATAATTAATAAATAGAATAACACTTGTAAATATTTGCTTCATATGAAACAGATTCTTGACTTATGTAAACCCATTAGGGGCATTTTTGACTGTAGTTTGGCAATTATATGATTTCTGTTGGATAACATAAGTAAGTAAAGAGTTATATTAAATAAGGATGTTTGCATTTCCTCTCCTTTTATTATTTTAGGTCCTTTGTATTAAAAGATTCTCCTTGTGCTTCCCTCAGCTCTGTGTGCCGCTCTCATTAGCAGGCACTGCGTGGGTTGGAGGCCCGCAGTGCCAACCCGGCCATAGTTCTCCAGGCCAGTGTGGAAAACTTTGCGGAGCACGTTCCCGCCCTGCTGACATACGTGGACGCGAGGCGGTGCAGGCGCTTTGCACCGAAGGCGTTGTAGTGGCCGGGAAGAACTTGGTCCACCTGTTGGGATGTATTCAGCTTCAGAAATAGTGTGTGGCACGTCTACTTCATTAACCACAAAATAGCAACTTTTATTATCTAATATAATCAATTACTCTAAATAGGATTAGGCTCTATTATTCTGAATTAACTGCCCCCCTGGGAGCTTTTTGTGTTACCTGCTCGCTGTCCACCAGCCCCACCAGACGCTCACAGCTGCTGACGTAATCACTGACCCGGCTATAGGGAAGCCAGTCGATCATGGCGCCATCGTACACCACATCTCCACTGAACAGCAACTTATTGTCGCGGTCGTGGAGGCAAATGCTTCCTCGAGAGTGACCCGGCATGTGAAGCACCGTCAGCAGACGGTCGCCCAGGTTAATGACATCGCCTGGATGGGGAGAGAAAACTGTAATCATACAGAAGTGATGAAACACATTCCCAGGAATCCCACCTATCTGCAATCCCCGTTTTATAATATTTACTTCCACACCATACTGTGCCGAGTCTGGAAAATGCAGCAGAACACTGATTGGTTCCATGAGCAGCTCAGTGTGAAAAAGTGGGTGAAGCTGACACATGGCGCAAGGAGATATTGCGACTGCACTGCAGCAGTAACACTGACACAGCAGAATATTGACCGACAGAACTGAAATTATCCTGGAAAGTGTACCAGAGATGAAACTTTGTGGCGACCAGCAGCCAGAGCTGCTCGGCTCAAATTCAGTCTGTCATACAACTTTCACCTCTATCATGCACATATGAGTAGTACTGTGGCTCTTCAAAAACAGGAGGGTGAGTTTTTTGTATCAGTTATTGTGTATCCCCTGATGACTAAAATAGAGTAGCTGTTGTGTGGGACGCTTTCAGGAAGTGCGTTGTTGCTCAGGCTCTGTAATCTCCTCTTCCTGTCTAGAAGAAACAAAAGCCATCAACGTCTTCAGCATCTTCACCTAAAATAGAACAGCTGTATAGATAGACAGGTGATGGTAGATTCAGAGAAAAACTAAAGTAGATCAAATATCATGGGACCGTTCACAGCTAACCCCCGTTTGATGATGACCTGTCTAGTCTTGTTTACATTTGTCCGAGAACTAAACTAGAATATATTTAACATGCGGTAGGATTTCATCAGTAAATCACCTTTTTAGACTGGTATTTATGTTTATGGATGTGCATTTAAAAATGATTTTAATGCTAATTTCAAATGCAGAAGGATGAAAAATGCCATTACAGCTTACACTAAGCCCAGTCGGCTATATCTCCCACCTACCCTCCTGCAGTATGTGTGTGGGCTGCACAGCCTTGACTTTGTAGTGTCTGGCCCGCCATCCCGGACTGGGAGCCTCGGCTATCTCCCTGTCACTGAGCCAGGTGACCGTCTCGAAGTTGTCCCCGTTGGCCAGGGCGTCGACCTCCGCGCTGTGGACGCCCACCTGTTGGAACTGATGCAGCCCGCCCGAGTGGTCGAAGTGGGCGTGGGTGGCGATTGCCAGCAGCGGGTTCTTCCTCTGCGGGTCTTTTCCGAGCAGCCCCTTAGCGTCGATGTAGTCAGGTAAGCTCCTCAAGCCCAGACCCGTGTCTATCACCACGTCCTGGTGGGTGCCGCGCAGCAGCCAGATGTTGGCCCGGTTATCTGACTGGTAGAATCGCTCTTGGATCCAGAAGAGTCCGTCTCCGAGCGACTTGTGAGCGTACCAGTCGGTTCCAGACATCCCAGGTTAGCTGGCTTCGTGCTGTCAGGTGCTTCAGGGTCGTCGTAGCCTCCTAGCTAACAAGTAATGTGTTTTCATCAAGGCTAATATGATGATGTCCGCCCGCACACACCCTTCTTTGATACAAGCTTTGTCATTGGCTACTCAAGTGGATAACGACACTTCAATTCTGGTTTTCTATTGGGTGCATGTAAGCCACACCTTCTAAAATGTGACACGTGCGTGGGAAGCAAGTAGCCACATTTCTGTAGTTTGTACGGAGTACGCAGGCTTACCACCCGGTACGAGTAAAACATAGCTATAAAAACACGCTTCTGGTTAGTTTGGCTGTTTTTGGTGAATTCAGGAGAACGTTAACTCGCCGAACGATAGCCTAAATTACTCAAATAGGTATATTTAAAACTATAGAGACTCAGTAGGAGCTGGCACTGAAACAGACATAAGCAGCAGACCGCTAACTGTCCAATAGTGAGTATTAGCACGTACACAAAACAGTTTCTGACGTTTGTAAATGTGGTAAAAGCCTCATTAGTGTGAGCACGTGCTGGACAGTGATATTGTGTGTCGCAGCTACAGGAGGAGAAATCAACAGCCACCGTCATGGCTGGAAAGGGTCGTGGAGTGGGTGCCTTCACCTTCAACATAGAAGCTCTGGGCATCGGTAGAGGTAGCATGCCAGAAGCCAGGATGGGGCCAAGTCCATTGTTTCCTGTAAGTAACACACACACACACACACACACACACACACACAGTCTGACTCACAAACCTACAATAGAAACTAGAAAACATTAGAATATGGTGCAACAATCAGTTTATTTCACTTGTATCTCTTAGACTGCGAGACCATCTAAGGGCTCAGGAACCCTTGGCAGATGTTTTGGATTCATTAGCTGATTAGAATGTGACAATGAATCTAGAATATTGAACCGTTTCACAATATTCTAACTGCCTGAGATTTTGAATGTGGTGTTTTCATGAGCTGTAAGCCATAATCATCACAGTAATAACAAATGCTTCAAATACCTGTTTTAGCATATAATGCATCTCTCATATATTAGTTTCACAGTTTAAATTGAATTACTGACATAAATGAAATTTTGCACTATATTTTTTCAGTCTCTCTCTCTCTCTCTCTCTCTCTCTCTCTCTCTCTCTCTCTCTCTCTCTCTCTCTCTCTCTCTCTCTCTCTCTCTCTCTCTCTCTCTCTCTACTAAAGTGCAAACAAGTTCTAAACAAGCAAATTGAACCAATTTTTTCCCCAATTGTAACTATAGTTACATCATATAAGGGCAGACTTTGATAAGAAACGACTGCATTCTGAAAGCATGAAAAACATCTGCAATAACAGACATCTGGAGGAAACAGGGTCTTTGAGGGTAGTTTTGGAGCAGCTTTTGTTCCAATTGGTTTAATTCCCCTTTAGAAAAATGAAGATGGATTATTTTGAGCTCATCTGTCCAAAAGTCTTGATTAAAATTAAACACAGCCTTAGTTATTTTGTTTATGTAACATCTGTTCTCCTAGAATACAGAATTTAAACCCGTTCCACTGACAGTTGGTGAAGAAGAGGAGTACATGCTGGCCCTAAAACAGGAAATGCGAGGAGCAATGCAACGGCTGCCGTGCAACATAAAATATCAGACCAAAAAAGCAGGTGAGCGGGAGAGTGGTGCATTAGAACCCATCATCTGAGAAAATCATTGTGAGCGTAGATAATGCAGCTTTTAGGAACCGAGACATTTAGTCAGTCATGTCTTGGGAAAGAGCTGAATCCTGGCAGAAAATCGAGTTAGTCTCATCTTGCAGTATTAAGCTAATGTATTTGGTTCAGCATTACAAATGTTTCAAAGTATCCTCATTGAAAAGAGTGAATGATTTAGTTTTTTTCTGAATCGTCATTCCTTTAGTTGCTGATTTGGTCTTTAGGCAGATTTCTGATTGTTTTGGACAACAATCAGCTATAATTCTCATACATTCCTGAATACATACTGAGCATGTTTTCATGGGACTGAGCTGTTTCTTGTTTTACATGAAACAGAAGTGGAGAAATACACTGAGCGATACCTGAAGCAAAGCCAGATTGTGGATGATGAGTGGACTCCAGGTACATTTACAAACACACAATCAGATAATTGGACCATTTTGTTCTTTAAAGATCATTCTAAGTATTATTCTTTGTATTTTAGACTGGAACCTTTTTCCAAAAGAACTGATGCCCCGAAGTAAAAAGCCTCGATCTAAAGTGGGTATGTTATTGCGCCCATGTTTGTGAAACGCTTTATTATGAAGTAACTTTAAGACTTAATATAAAAGCTTTACTTTTTACTTTAACAGGCATAAAGAAGAAAGCTGTGAAGGTTTCAGTCAAAGAGGCCGCTAACATTATAAATAAACTGGATGTAAGTTATTTTCTACACTTTTTAAAATGGGGAAAAGATCATCACAGTTACTTTTTTCAAATCGCATTTATGTAATCTAATTACTTACCGAGTTTGGAAGCACTATCCAGAGTTCACATTTTAAAGAGTCTTCAAGCATCGGTTCAAATCAACACTGGTTGGTGGTGATTACAGTTTAAAAATATAAGTAATTGGACATGTTTTACTTTTATCTCAATAAAAGACAGTAGGGAAATTCAGTTGCTACAGCAGCACAGACAGAGAAAAGGAAGAAGAAAAATAATACCAAGATTACAGGTAAACACACAAAAGCAGTCAGCTATTATTGTAACCTGCAACCAATAAAAACAAATAAAAAGGGCTATGCAGCATAAGGGACACAGACAAACTAATGTACATCAGGCTCTGCACAAGTGTAGAACACACTGAATATTGCATTGATGTTATTGTGTAACGGGAAAATGCCAGTACCAGTTAGGGCTGCTCAATTAATCGAATTTTAATCCCAATTACGATCTGAGTTTTGAACGATTATAAAAACAAAACAAGCAGATTATTTGCTCCTCCCACTTGTGCTGCCCTGAGTTGCAAATGAAGCGCTCCTCCCACAGTGTTGCCAACTTAGCGACTTTGACGCTATTTCTAGCAGCTTTTCAGACCCCCTTCTTGACTTTTTAAATCTTAAAAGTACCTAGCGAACACCTCAAACATCTCTGGTAACCCTTAGCTACTTCCTGGATAACTGTCGTTGACATTTCCTGCAGGTTAGCTAAACACTCCGCCTGCGCTCCGGACCGTTCTTCAGGACATTAGGAAAGGGAATGATGTGGTGATGTGTCAGTCGCTAAAGAAACGGCTCTCAGAGCCGGCTCCCTGTTGGATTAACCAGAGTGAATGACACACACACCGTACCTGCGGGCTCCTGAGCCACTAAAAACAGCTAAATGTGCGCGTACGGCACGCTAAACACACGTGCATCTTGCCCCTGATTGCTGTGAGACCAGGTTGGGGGGTAGAGGGTGCAGCTGTGGTTGGGACAATTATTATATTAACTGATGGACTTGTAAATAATAATAAATAGTTTATAAATAAGGTAGAAACAGATAGAAATAAGTTCCTCACACTGATAAATAAAACTAATCTCTCTGAGGACACGGTGCTAGTGCACTCTCCTACAGCACCTTTAAGTGACTAATACATATTATGCAAAATCTTGTGAACATCAATTTATTTGCATTCATTTGTTATAAATGCCACTGTATAATTCTTGCTGTCAGTATTTGCAAGATATTGGTATTTGGGTCTGTACTGGTTAGACTTAAATGAGTTAAACCAAGGTCTATAGCCCTTGGGTCATAGACTATGAGCTATAAGTATATTGGCCTTTTTATACTGGGAATCAGGAGTTATTTTAGTGATCATCTTGTTTCTTATTTATTTTTGTCCTGATTGTGCCCCGAGCAATTTTGTGACTGAATAAAAACAAATAAAATCAACATTAATTGAAAAATTGTCTTAAATAGTCAAGATCTCAATTTCAGTCACAATAATCATGATTATTATTTTTGCCATAATCGAGCAGCCCTATGAGGAGTATACACTCCTAGTGCAGAGGGCTTGAATGACCTACCTAGATGAGAAATATTTCAAATCTAATTTATAAGAGTAATTTAAAACATTTGAACTTAGTCTTCTGCCTCATTGATCAGGCACACAAGGAAGCAACATGGCAGAAAGTACAACTATTAAACTATGTAGAGAAGTGCTACGGTGGCCTGAATGTCCAAATGGAGTTTGTGTTTTTTCACAAGCACTGAGGTTTGGAAACAGAACAACGTAGAAAGAAATCCCAGAATGCACTGCCACAGATTGTGTTGGGGTGTCAAAACTGATTTGGATGTGCATTATTTGACACATTATATTAGAAATGGGGGATAATTTTCCAATCTCCAAACGTCAGTCCAATAAAGGACGATGGACAATACATTCATGCAAATGTGACTTTTTGAGCAATGTAATCATGCGTAGACTGATTTGCGAACACAGAAGTCCCAACATGGATTCTATAATGGAAGTGCAGCTCATTTGTTCAACGGAAGAGGCATTTTGACTTTTCTTTTTTTGTATTTTTTATTATTTGTTTGGTAGAGTGAAATATAAATGACCCGTAAACACGGTTATAGTGTTCAAAAGAAGCCTCATCTTTGTTTCCCTGTGGTGCCCACCATTGCAGTATTTTGTGCGTAGTGTTTAAAATATCTGTGCACCTGCATGAGTCATTATTAGTAAACTTACGCATGCAAAAATAATAAATCGCTCTTGTAAAAACAACCGTTTTATAGGCTCTGCCTATCATCGATGGTCGAGTAATTCATCCGATTGCCCAACCCTACGTCATATGAATCTGGTGTTTTACCTTTCCTTTACTCACACTCACTTGTGAAAACATGGGTTTTAAAAAGTAAAAATAGTAATGTTATTATTGCAGGATAGTACTTGTTAGGTTTGGACACACTGCAGACAGATGTGACCCAGGCCTCTTTCTTATGCAGTTCTATATCAAATACATATGTTTTTATATGCAGTCTCAGTCTGAGCAGTCATGTTGGATCTTTATCTAAGTTTTATCATTGAAAAGTGAAAAGTTTGCACCAGAGGAGGCAACAGCCATGTTTACCTGCTGCATGTGACGTCACATCTTCTGCACGTGAGTGCCTTCAGGGCCGTAGACTGTTTTCACTGCAGTCTGATGGCAGTTGCATTTAAATTAGGTGATGAACATCCATGCAAAATAACGCCTCAGTGAATGAAACAAAAACAAATCAGAATTGAGCTTTTAGACTTGCAGTTTGTAACTTCTCTAGATCTGGTTGGGTATTTAAGGGTTATTTGTGGAGGATTCCAGTTGTTGCCGCAGTGTTCTGTGGTTTAGACTTTTTTTCATCCCAATAAACAGAACAAATGTTCAGACTAGTGATGGGCCGATACCAGTATTATGATCACAGTTATGGCCGTTAACCGATATTTGCAGATACCGATATACTGACATTAATGCTTTTAAAATCAGCAGATTTTGTATAAAATGGAAATTATTAAAGCTGAATTTACATTATTATGTACACACAACACACATATTTACGCTTCTGAGATTATTACAGTCAGTGTCACATGACTAAAAAATTACACACCATCACCCTCTGAAACAGGCAAACAAATGGAGACAAGATGGAAAAAATATCTGTTGTTAATATCGGCCCGGTTTTATTTATCGGACCGATACCGAAATGTAAAAAAATGACTTAACATCGGCCGATACCGATATTGATGCAGATAAATTGTCCATCTCTACTTCAGACTCTTCTTTTAATTGACTTAACAAAACTGGAGAAGGCACAAAAGCAGGTTTAGGAAAACCAAATAAAAGCATCAAGGGGACACTTCAAGATGTGTGTGCTGACTCAACCTGGGGTTTGTTTCTGCCTTCTCAGAAGTTACTGGAAGTGATGCTTCAACTGCAGCTAAAAGACTCAGAACCATACATTAAATGTAGGGTCTGAACACTTATATTTTATTTTAATTCAAACCATTTTAGTGTAAATGATAATATTGTGAAACCTGAGACATTTGTAGTTTTTTAGAAAACAGACTCCAGAAACATGAAAAAGGTGTAAATCATTGTCCAGTTATTAATATTGGAAATCCTTAAGAAATCGTTTCGGTAAAAAAATTATAATCCAACATTTGCATTGGTCATACTTAAAATACAAAAGCTTTGAAAGATGTTTAAAGTATTTACAGTATTTCTGGAAAACCATACATTTATAGCAGTGTGTCTGTCTGTGACACAACTTGTTCCTAACCCTTCCGTTTGTTCAGATCTTACTGAGGCAGAACTGCCGGTTTAATTAGTTACTGTTTGTGTGACAGGAACTGGCCAAGAAAGATGACGGCAACCCTGAAAAATCAGATGATGAGACTGAGAAGAAAACAGGAAATGAAGACGAGGAAGACATTGAAGAGGAAGGTTATGAAGAAGAACTGGAAGAGGTGAAAACAAAAATAAGAACCTGAGCAGTGAACTGCACAACTTGTTTTATATAGTACCAGAATTCCTGAACTCTGTTTTGTCCCATGTTTTAGGACAACGACTACATCGAAAGCTACTTTGACAATGGAGAAGATTTTGCTGCAGGCAGCGATGATGACATGGACGGCGAAGCGACGTACTGAGGGTTCACCTGATATTCCACAGGAAATTTGCTTTATTTAGTGTAAACATCTTAAGAGTTTGTAAATAGAAAATCCCAAATATTGGCAGAGTCAAGATAATAATGTATTGAAAATATATTTATTTTTCTGCCTGTAGCTCATTTCCACCGGTTAAAAGGCACGTATCAAGTGAACACTGATCAAATAAAAGGCTATATAACAAAGTCTTAAAGTTCACATCATTACAGTTAGGAGTCTGTATGGGAATACTGTGCATTTCCCATGTTCTTAACATGCTCTCAAAAGAAAAACTAAGGTTTTCTCAAATGCAAACTAAAGCTAAGATTCTAGATATTTCACAGGAATTTCAAAACAACTAGCAACTCAATACTGAAAGTATTAGGAAAAACTAATGCTCATCCTTTCAATAAATTAATTCTAATCAAACAGTGGAAGCAATTATGGCTGTACAAACCGTAATACTCCATTCCCAACTCTAGTGTAGCAAACATATTTGGACCATAATGCTTTTGAGCAAATATACTAAATATATATTTTTTATGCCATATAGACACAGAATGCCAAATATTAGGTGTTTTCACCTGTTCATTAAAAATATTTTAAAAATGAGGAAAATGGCAAAAACATCACCCTAATTATGTTGCACAGACCAACAACTGTACAAAATAATGCTTTGATTTGAAGGTCCAGTATTTTCTTGCAGCCCTTCAATGCTTTGTTAAAATTCATATCGATGGAATTAGTGAAGAATAGCAGCTTTACCTCTCCTATGTTTAGATGAATAGTCCCACCAGGTCACCGCTAAACAGATTACATTGTTTTATTAAGACAACTTGAAAATAGGAACATCCATGGATTTTTATTCAGATTCTGGTTAGTAACATGAAATCCAACGCTCTGCTACGTGTCCCTAAACTGTGCGTTAGCATCAGCTGCAGCGTTGTCCACACCAGGTTTCTGATGATTTCCATTGACCTCCTCTCCAAGACCAGCCCACGCATTGTGTTCTGCAGAGTGGTCCATATTTTTACCATTGAACTGTTCATGATGCAGGCCGTTAAGTGTGGGTGGAGGAACGCTGTGATGACTGACGTCAGACTTCACAAGAACCTCATAGTACAAAAGGTAGAACACAGGTGTCACAATGCCAACAACCAGCATGATGGCCACGGCGGTCCACCATCTCATGCCCCAGTCAGCTCCATAGTATGGGTCCTTTCTTTGAACTGGTTTGTACTCTACTCCTTCCAGCAGTGGCTGCTGCTGTAGAGTTAGAGAGGACACGACCTCGCTGAGGCTGCTCCGAGACGGCCCTGTGGACTTCACCAGCTGCTCAATGTCCTTATCCTTCTCCAGGAGAAATCCTTCCACACTGTCCGTGGAAGAAGAAGAAGAGTCTGTGGAGGACTCCAAAGGGAGGGATGTAACGAGGGAGATCTGGGGGACACGTCTAGCCCCTGTGGGGGAAGCAGATGTGGCAGGGCCAGTGTTATGAGTCTCCGTTAGAACACTGAAGCGCCTCACAGGAATCTTAATAGAACGCAGAGCAAAGAAATCCTGTTCTGTTAGGAGGTTGTTTGAACGCTTAATATCGGCCACCTAAAAAACAGACAGAGGAAACCGTTAAAAGCAGTTTACAATCCGGATTAATAGAAAACTCATGCTGATTTCATGTTTTAAATAGAAAATAAAGTGCATGTGAGAAAATACAACTGATGAGATTTTACCCTTTAAATCAGTTTGAAGTATTTCATTTAGTGAAAGAATCAAATGTACTAACTCAGTCAGTGGCACTTAACTCCTACCTATACCTGCATTAGTCTTTAAACACAGATTATAAATTCAGTCTAATCCCAGAGCAAAAATGTTATTGTACTGCAAATGTTCCAACGCTGCACACAAAAATGAGTTTACGGGATATGATTGCAACCTCTCAGGCAGAATCCACATCAGTGGTGTAGCATGTGCAAAAGCTGAACCCCATGATTTCTATTTTGACTTCAATTACAGAGCAGCCGCACCAGCTACGTGTTCCTCATGTTGCAGCAGCAGCAGCTCACGTCCGTTTGCATCAGCAGCGTTACTGTTAACTTTCAGTGTTAATATGTAGCAGTAGTCTCGCGTGATTGGTCAACTGTATGGTCAAAGCCAGTTAACAATGGATACCAAAACCTTGTTTATTCATGTGACTATTAACAAAGGTTGCTGGACCATCTTCATTATTTTACATGCATGCTTTTGCTGTTTAGTCAGATTATAAAAAAATTAACTATCTGTTTTCTAATAACTTGGACCCACATGTATTTTTATTATTTGGTCAACAGGTCATAAAATGTGATTTTTGTCTAAGTGGTTGCTTCTTGACTGAGGGCAAAGCCGTACCGAGCAATGGTACTGCAGGGCGATGCTGTTCAGGGTGTCCCCCTCCTGGATATCTCTAGGAAGGTAGATAATGTCGTCCAATTTCTCCTTGGAAATGCTTCTTCTTAGCCTTTCTCTTCCACGTGACCGTAGCTCAAAGCTTTCTCCGTCCTCCTCTGACAAGTCATTCTCTGAGCCATTGTTTCCAAACACGTAGGAGTGACCACCATATGCAGGCTGCACCATGGTGGCCGACTGGAACCCATAGTGCTGGCTTCTATTGGACATCGTCACTAAAATGTGGGGGAAAAAGGACAAGGTTAAGTTTTATGTGCTGATCTTAACATATTCCCTACAAAAAGGATGACTTCACTGATGTTAACTTCCCACAACAAGAAAGAGATGACATGTTATTAAAACACTGTTTAGACAACATATTCAAGGACTCTTATACAACTTGAGAGATAAGTTATCAGCATTTTGCAGGTGAATGGGATGTCACTGGTCTTAAAGTTGGCAGTCTTTAAGTGGATGCCTTTTTGTAACACTACTTAAGTAAAGAACGTTACTGCGTTTGCTTATCCTTCAGCAATATTTGTCATTTTCTCCTGTTACAGCAAAGCTGAAAGTGATACGAGAAAAGCAAAGAAAAAGTCATCCTTCATGTACTGAACAACGACAGCAATGTGAATTGCTATAAAATGCAGGTAAATACCATATTAATAAACTAAACCCAGCAGAAATCAGCTTTGCCAATCATACACTCCCCCATAAAAATCTAGTGATAAGTATCGTTTATTCCCATTGTAAATCAGGACAGTTAAATAATAAATAGCAAAAATGAAACCAAAAACTGCTACTTATGGCATTAGAACAGCAAGCAGGTGGATAAAGTAAATCTAGCAACCTGGGATCCCGTTCCACAGACTAGGCTAATGCTAACTAGCATCTACATTCTATTTAACCGACGGTAGCAGGCTTTGTGGAGCTCCACCAGACTAGTCGCTACAACATCTTCATAAAGCTGTCAAAAACATTTTACCTGACTGACTTAAAAGCCTTTGCAGTCACTTATTCTCCACAAGTTCCATATTTCCGCTGGATAATGCTCGGTCCCACCTTTTCGTCGGCTTATAACCTACCTGCTAATGTTTTCCACCACTCCAGCCACGTCAACAGAATATTTACGTGATGACGTTTTAATGGGCTCAACGTAGGTTTAGTTTTTCACCACTAGATGGCGCAAAAGATAACGTAGCAAGAAACCACCGGAAACCAAAATTTCATGGGTGAGATTTGATTTTGGGATTTTTATGAGAAGCTAGTGCAGCAAATAGGGTCAGAAAACGATGTTCATGTTCAGCCTGCATGAAAAACTCAGAGTGACCGATTATAATCAGAAATAACAATTAAAAAAATGTTTCTTCAGTGAATCACACCTTTAAAAAAATCTAATTTATTCCAAACTGAAGACTTTTAAAAATAATGTTTTCATCTTTATTACTTTTTATTGGTCTGTAAACTAATAACTAATAGTTTTGTATCTGATAGATTTGATTAGAAACTACAAACGTCTGATGGAAGCATTTTTAAATATGTTTATTTTATTAATAACTTAATTAATTAATTAAAGTAGCCGTAAACAGGTTTCTGCTCCTGCGCTCTACTGGTTTAAAGTGGAATTACAACCTCCGTAAACAGCCCTGCAACAGCAGCTTGCACCAACAACAAGCGAACACTAACATGAGCCAACTAATGCTAAAATAAATTACAAAGTTTAAAGATCCACATTGTTGGACAAAATATATTATTATTTGGAAGTTCAGTAGCAACAAAGCCATGCAGGCCTAGTTAGGCAAGCCACCATATATATAGTTCTGTTTGAAGACAGTTTTATTATTATTATTATTTTTGCATTTTAAGCAGCTGCATGTCTTTATCCTTCGCAGAAGAAGAGCGACCATAAAAGATCTAAAACCAGAGTGAGTTTAGGTGAAGCCATACTTCACCTAAACTCATTTTTATATGTACTGACCCACAATGATTAAATGGCCAGTGAAGGGCCCACCAGGCCAATGCCCGGTTAGCCTGGCCTTCCTGACTCGTCCTGTTTAATTCTACACAGAGAACTAGTCTGGTTACTTAGAAGCAGAGGCACGTGAGAGCTGGGACTAGGCAGCTCAAAAATAACCAGTCAGTACGACTGTACCGCGCAATGTTGTAGTTTTTAGCTGTCGTCAAAAATGGTATCTGGCGATGGTGCTAACATCGTTCTTTAGAAGAAATTATTTCTTGTTGTGGTTTAAAGACATGTCCAAGTCATTTAGAACAGAGGAAAGAGCTGCAGCGAACTCCGCTTCAGACACCATCTTTGTTGTTTGAGAAACTGAGCGTTGTAGTGACAGTGTGTGATGTACGCTGCTCAACTCTGATTGACTGGTTAGAATTCTCAGGGGGTGGGGTTATTTGAACAGGAGGGTTCCCAGGCTGGCCAGGCTAATGCCTGGTATACCAGATGGCCAGTCCACCCCTGGATGCCTGGTATACCAGATGGCCAGTCCACCCCTGGATGTGATTCATAAAAGTAGTATATATATATATATATATATATATATATATATATATATATATATATATATATATATATATATATATATATATATATATATATATGTATATATATATATATATATAATCTGCTGAGTATTTTAAATAGTTCAAGAGGAAACATTTTCTAACATTCAAAAACTATTATTTATTTAGACTCCTGGTCTAACTGGGCTTTAAGATGCTAACACAGCTGTTAAAGGATGACTGACTTTACAAATGGCATATGGGGTCCACCTGCATGCTGCTGGGCTACTGTATGTTATTCCGGAGCATCTGTTCCCTTCCAATTAATATCATTCCCGTTTTTGCAATCTCATTTGTTTTATTGTAGGACACGCAGCAGTCCCCGTGTGACCGATATGTGTGGTGTGCCACACGGTGGAGCTGTCAGCGAGCACCACGCCTTCACCCTCATCAGACAAATGGGATTAAAACATTTTGTCGGATTAAGCTGCGACCGCTAGACGCGCTTGAGTCTCGGAGGAGCTGCAAACTAATCTTCCTGTTGGAGCGGTGAGCCAGCCGCGCTGAACCATAGCAGGAGGCTCCCACATGGCAGGAGAACTGAGTCAGGAGAAGCTCTGAGACGGACAGGGAGAAAGGATCTGCTCCGTTACTTTCCAAACGCGCTCCTGCCGCTCTAGAGGAAACTATCAAATGATGAAACCAGGTGCTGTTTGAGGAGAGGCGGAGCGTTCACTTACGTTATCCACGGGAATCAAGATCCCGTAAATTATCACGGACTGAGAGAGGGGCCAGGCTAAGTGTCAGGTAAGTTTACATGATTTATGCCAGGTTGTTGTTGTTTGGAAAAATAACTATGAAAGAAGCCAAAACTTTGTGGGATTAAATGTGATTTGAATTATTCTGGATCCACGTTTTCCCAAAGAGGGAGTATGAGAAACCCAGCAGAGAACAACGGCTAAACACTCCTCATCAATAATAGCAGACAGCTCCAGTGGACGCTTTGTGTGAGACTAGAAGAAAACGATTAAAAGTGCTCGGCCACCGCTAATTTCTATTTGCGCCGTGCCAGAAATACCCCTCGGAGCTGCTAATAAAATTGAAAAGCCTAAATATTGATTCAGCGCAATCAGTGAGTGAATGGCAAGGCAGCCCATTGAGGAGGGAGACAAACGCTTCCATGGTTACATCCAGGATCTCCAGTGTGATCACGGCGCTTTGTGTTGGGGTTTTCGCCCTCCCACTGAAACAAAACAACTGGCACACACAGAGCCGGGGGACCCCGTCCCTGCTGATCTATAGGCTTTACTCGGGCCATAAGTAATCTTGGCACACTTGGAGTTGCGCACATGTGCCGCTACTGTTAAATAAACGAGCTGTGCCCGTACAGCTTCATTGTGGCGCTTCTTTGAGTCCTTTGCGCTTCTGTTCAGACTCAACAAATTACACCAGCTGATGCGGTGTGTTTTCACACTCTGAATAATTAAACTGGCTCCCCTTATTTCTAATTGATCTGACATGATGTCATCCTGGTGCGTCCCTTCCAAATCTCTTTTGTTGGCGCGCAGCGGCGCTTCGGTGGAGATAAATCCCTCTCTCTCTCTCTCTCTCTCTCTCTCTCTCTCTCTCTCTCTCTCTCTCTCTCTCTCTCTCTCTCTCTCTCTCTCTCTCTCTCTCTCTCTCTCTCTCTCTCTCGTGTGTGTGTGACAGCTGCTTTCTGTCTGTAGTTACACCTGCTCCTCCTCAGATTTTATTGTTTCTATAACATGGAGCCTCTTCAGTTTGCTTCTAATGGGCAAAAAGAGTAATTTTACACAAGTAAATCTAACCTTCATGGCACAGAGTACTTTTAAATGGATTATCAAAGATCCTGACTCCTCACAACTCAGGTCCTTTTGTTTGGTCAGTGTTTATGTCATTGCCTGGCAGGGGTCAGCCTCCATTTGCCTGTGTGATGGTCTGAATGTGATTCACTGGGCGGAAACTGTTTTAGTGCCTGCGTCTCTTGCCTTCTGTCTCACCCCCTCCTTATGGCTGCACAGTACAAAAGGGGGAGGCTGAGCCATAAACGAAGCCTGTTCATTATGAAAGGTGCTGAAGTGTTGCACGCAGCAGACAGGAGGGAATTGATGTCCAGTGGGGAAGAGAGGGCTTGGTGTGGTGACCGACACAGGGACAGCATGGATGAAGGTCTGCAACAGGCTGGCTTGACAAATCTGTTGGAAACAGATGCCATAAAGGGATTTTTTTTTCAACTGCATGAATAGAAAGTGAATTAGAACTCTTATGGTCTTGATTCCCAGTCATAACTGTTACCCAAAGCTTTAAATGACACATGAAAAACAATCCCATGTCAGACCAGACCTTTAGGCTAATGATATCTCATTTCCACATGCTGAGACAGAATCTGGCTTTTGTTCTCTCAAAAAAAACACTTCATATTTACCTAGATCACTATGCAATTAAGCATAAAATGTTCGTTTGTATTCAAGTGTCAACAAATGTAAAACACCAAAGTACAATTTAGATATAACATGTAATGTGCTTTCCATTACATTGAAAGAAGAACTGTTTTTATGCAGAAACATTTTGTAGAAACTTAACAATCAGTCAAAATTAGAAGTAATTGTCTTTCTTTCTTTTATTAATTAATTTTTTTTATCATGGTATTGTGTTGGGCCTTTTTGGGTAAAATCCAACCAATAACAACTCTGTATTTTTTACACTGAAAAAAAAAGTTGCAGTAATTTACTCTGCATTTTAGGTCTAGCAACGCATCATTTAGCCTCAACAGGTCTACCACTGGCCCAAACTATTTTAGGTCTGGCCAATCACAGTGCTCTAATGTTTTCAGAGAGACTTTGGGCGGGCTTAGCATCAAAGCTGCGACAGAGAAAACAAGAAAGAAGTAGCTGGTTCTTGAACGGTGCTCATTTGAAACAGCTTTGCCATCAATTTGGGATGATTTACACCTGGGTATTATTTTTGTTTGTTTTGAAAAAGGATAGATTTGCTTCTTCTTCTTCAATGGTATACAGTGGAATATCTCATTGACTGATTTTTATTTTGATGAATATGTCACATTTGGCGCTTACACATTAGGGTCAGTACTGTCAGGGTAGGATAGCATCAGTACCCAACCGTACCGACCCTAATGTGTAAGCGCCAAATGTTCGTTGCTCTAACTGGTGCTAACGCTGTCCAGTTGCATGCGGAGGCAGTTTGAAAGACAACCATAGATTTTGCCTCATGACTGAGCTTCGTCTATGGGTTGAATATATTACCAAATATAGAATTTACACAGGCCAAGTGACCTGGCCCGGCAGCCCAGATGAGTAACAGGACAGGGGCATTTCAGGGGCCCAATCAGATTTCAGCAGGTGCCAATGTACCTGTGGCCCCACCCCTAGAATCGCCATTTTTTTGCATCCCAAATGAGTATAACATGTTCATGACGGTGTTAATTTTCCCTGGCAATGAGGGGGCAGTACATACCTAAATCCTTGCAAGCAAGCAGTATTAAGACCTTACCAACGGATGACCATTAGGGTCAAAAATCCCTGTGAGCACAATTTTCTAATGAGTCCTTCATCAGATCGTTCAGCCTCCAGCATAGCAAGCACATCCGACTCCCTTTCATCACTGGCAACAAGAGAAGAGGTAAATGTGTAAAATAACGTTTAGGAATGGTGAAAGTTTTGTAACCACTTGTTATAAATCAGTAAAGGTGTTTTTGTCCTCATGGGCATACATAGAAGGAAATGTGGCGTCTAATGCGGCCCAGAAACTTAGACCCGCTCATATGTACATTAGTCCCTATTTTTATGGTTATATGTTACGAAGCCACCAATATTTTTCAACACCTGGGCATCATTTAATTCATTTTCAACACCATTTTGAGGGATATTTCATAGATTAATGGTAATAACCACACATTGTCTCTTTAAATGACAACATTGAGTGTGTTGTTTTAGTTTTTCTGTATAACTTAAATCCAATTTGAAATTCTTAGACTCATAACTCAGTGTTCTAAACATGTAATCATTGTTTTATTAGTTTCAACAGTCACTGGAAGTTTCATGTTTTTGCACAGCAAACAGTATCATGTTTTAGAAGTTGTTACTGTTGGAGCAGAGGGACAGGATAGCGGTGTATCTGCTGTGGCCAACAATCCTGAGCCCTCCTTAGTGGGTCTGTCCAACCAGATATTGTTTCTGGTGTGCAGCTGCTGCAGAAAACACTTGGTCATGACCTGGCTGTCATTTACCGTAATCACAAGAACAAGTAAACATGCACATATAAATGTGAACTTATTGCTTGTTTTGGAAAGTTACACGTATAAATCTGCTGTCCATTTCAGAATCAAACCTGAAGTCTGACCCTTTTGATGTTAGAAGCTGCCACGGCCTCCGAGCCTTTTGGTAGTGGGATAAGAATGCAGTCTCTCTAACAATAGATTTAAGGTGAAAATACACCACCAGAAATTTAAAATATATTCAAGCAATTTATCATGTTTTTTCTTTACTTTATAGTCTTAAATGCAAGAGCTAATTTCTAAGTAAACAAACTGAAAACAGGCAATAAAGTTTGTTTCTGTGATTCATGATGGAGCTTATCTAAAATTACAGTTCCGTTTGAAGACATGTTAAAAGCCTCAATATGTATTCTTTGCATGTTAATATGTGCTTCCTATTCTTACAAACACAACTTCTCTTGAACTTGATCAACTTAAGTGATGAAAACTCCCCTCCATTTGGGTGAGTGTAACATTCTCATCTCATTTACTCTTCCCAAACCCCATCCTGGCTGACTGTAGCAGATGCATTTATTTTACACTCATGTTAATAGAAATATAATGAAATGAAGTCTGCAGAAATGATTGCCAGCATGACACTATGCATCGTTTTGCAGCGTTAATCAAGTAAATGGTAGTTATTTTTTATTCATTCATTTATTTATTTATTTTGTCTTTGCAATGTGTGGCACATATCGGACAAACCAGATGATCACTGTGTAGCCACACATAAAGAGACAGTAATTTGTAAAGGGTTTATTTTACATCTATTTAATGAACCATAAGACATGAGATTCCATAGGAAATATGAAATCAATCTTATGGATCTTTGGGTACTTTTAACCAGAAGATTGGAACTTTTTATTGCAGGGATTATGTAACCAATTTGTATTAACTGAGAGACAAAAGAAGAGAGAGTCACCTTTAACGTTTAAGAAGATTTATTTCTAAACAATTTTAAACAAGACTAACTCTAAATTCTAAGTGAATGGATGGATCTTGGTATGAATGAGACGTGAGATGAATGGTGGACGTGTGAGTGATGTTGTAATCAGAACTCTTGTATCCGGAGAAGCACGTCTGAGTGATGAAGTGATGTTTTGCTCTTAAGCTATGATCGGAGTTTCATAAACACATCAGACGCCATTTTGTCGCTCCACACATACCCTTCAGGATGAGACCTCCGTACAGATCCAGAATGCCACCCCCTTCGGTACCGGAGCCGATGAAACAGTGTCAGCAGTACGACAGACTAGTCTTTGGATTGTCTCCAGGTAAAAAGCGACAGTTGGTTGACAGCGTCAGATGGACCCGGAGGGTCAGTGAGTTCAGCTTTTATTCTGAAAGGAACCATTGCTTGGTTGGTAAAATGCAACAGATTTTATCCAGCTTGTTGGTTCTTTGCTTAAAAAGGAAGTCCGGGTGGCCGGTCTGATACTTCTCTTAGAATGCTGTGAACTGGCCTTAGATGGCGTGGGTACTGGTTTTATTAATCTGGATGTTTTGATTTATG